TTCACCTAAGATTATACTTCTAGGTGTAAATTTTTATTATGTCAGAATTATAATTAAAAAGCATACATAAGCAAGAAAGCAAATTAATGATTCTAATGAGAAAAGTGAGCTAGAATTTAATATTTGTCATTCATCTTCTTAGGTTATTAAGTGAAAATAAAGCAGTCTGCAAATATCTTTCACTAAGTGTAAATTTTTATTATGTCAAGATTATAATCAAAAAAGTACACAAAGGCAAGAAAATAAATTAGTAATTTTATTGAGTGAGAGGAGCTAGGGTATATTCTAAAAATATAAATTTTATTGATATACTAAAACTATATTTTGAGAGCTAAGAAACACCTGGACTACGTGTTTTAATAACTATCATTCTTAAGCTTCTAGGTGAAAAAAAGAAGTCTGCTTGCGTCTTCTGCTAGGTATAAATTTTTAGGTGTAAATTTTTATTATGACGAAATTGTAATCAAGAAGCCGTACATAAGTAAGAAAACAAATTTATAATTTTAATGAGTGAAAGTGGGACAGGATATATTATTCATGCACTCATTTCCTTAAGATTCATGAATGATTTACTCTATTCTGCACATGTCCCTTACTAAGTGTAAATTTTTATTATAACAGAATTATAATCGGGAAAGTGCATAAAGATAAGAAAATAAATTAGTAATTTTATTGAGAGAAAGAGAGCTAAGGTACATTCTAAGAATACAATTTTTATTGATATAGTAAAACTATATTTTGAGAGTTTTAGAATCGCAAATTAATAAGTATTCATTTTAGTCAGCAAAGGAACGCCTGGACTACGTATTTTGAAAACTATTATTCTTAAGCCTTTAGGGTAAAAAACAAGAAGTCTGCTTGTGTTTCCTACTGTTATCAAAGTTTATAAAATATGAAACTATATCAAAATCTTAGTAAAAAATTAGCAAAACTATAGTTTAAACATTTTGCTAAATCCAAAATGAGTTTAGATAAGCAATCTTACTAGTAATATTAGTGACATTAATTGAGAAAGAAATAAAATAACCTAATAATCTTAAGAAAATAACAAACTTATTACTAGTTCTATCACTAGTTTCGTATACTAACTAGTAATATTAGTGATAGCTCATAAGTAGAATCAAACTTAGCTATTAATAATGTGTAAGCTATTTAATGTGATTTATCATCCTATTTCAAGATTTATGATTTGTTAAGACATTTTTTTGGTATTGAGATGCTCAAAAGTATCTAAAACTAAAAACATAAAAAATTAACAGCAATTTTGGCTAATATTATAATATAATTTTGGCTAAAATAATGAGACACAAAAATAACAAATATATCACAATCAAGAGGTATATAAATACCAGTAGCTAATAGGTAATGGATGGTTTGAAAATGATGCGCTCTCAGTAAGTGGATGGGCTGCTATAGAACGCATAGTTTTTTTATTTTGAATTCTTTGACCTACGGGTCAGCAAAAGTCACGTGACTGAAGCAGTAGATATAATAAATATAATAAAAATTTATTTAAATTTGATCAGATCTTTGGATATAATAATTCAGTATCTAAGCTAGTATAAAACTAATTTAGAATTGGCAAACTAATAGAATTACATAAGCTCCTTAATGTAAAAATTTTTTGCAATCACAACTAGCTTACTGAAATAATTTTATTAAAATATACGAAAAATAAGTTCAGCATAATGTAATATAACGCAGAATACAAACAGAAAATAAAAAGTAGGAGACAATAAAATAGATAAAAATAAATAAAAAATATAATGACTAAGCATCAGAATAGTCAGAAAGTGACAAAAGGCCACAGAATAACAAAAATAAATGATATATTTACTTTGTAATAGAAATAAAAAACTTTAAAAATAATTTTTCTTTTAATAATTTCTTCTCTTTTTATTACAAAATGCTATATAATTTAATTTTAAAAAATTAGTTTAATTAAATTTTAACATTTAAACAGTATTAATATTTTTAAATATACTTTAATTTTAATTAATTAAATGTTTTAACTATTAATTAAAATTCAAAAAAAATATATATAATAAATAATATTTTTAATTAAAAAAGAAAAAAATATTATAAAATATCAAGATTTAAAAAAATAAAGCAATTAGCTATATATATTTAATAAAAAGAAATTTTAAATTAATTAAAATTAATTAGATTAATTAATTTTTTTGCTTTACAAATTTTTTAACATCAAAAAGTTATTTACTATAATTATTTTAGTAATTTTTTAAAAATTCCCTATCTAAATTACTTAAATAATTCTAATTGGTTTAGAAGCATTTACTAATTTATTACCAAAAATTAAACAAGACATTGTTATCTAACAAATTTGTTACGCAGAATTAATTGAGAATTTTCTGTTCCATCAGCATTACCTATTATTATCAATTATAGTTATTCCGAATTACAAGTTTCCCAGTATATAATTCATAATTGTGATATCATCGGAAAAGAGTAAATTTGTTAGTGCTACAAAAAACAATTTTTAAAAAAGTTTGATTTTTTTTTATATCATACAAATTCAAGTAACGTTCTTTCCTGGATGCAATATATATAAAAATAGGTTTCTATAAAAAAAAATTTACCAAAAAAAAAAAAAGAGAAAAAAAAAAAATCAAAATAATTATTAATAATAATAATAATAATAATAATAATAATAATAGTAACAATCATAATAATAATGAATTATAATTGAATCTTTTACTCCGTTTCTTTATATTAAAATTGAAGATACAGTTGAAATTCTAAAGTGAACTATTTAAGAATTCTCTTTTACTTTGGTTTTTTATCGAGATTAAAATAAGGTTTTGGTTGACATGGGATCATTTAGAAGACTAAGCACCTTTTTTGGTGCGTTTCTTTTATTAGCTGTGTCACTAATAAGTGCTCAAAGTACAGACAATAATACAAAGTCTTATAGTATGTTTATAATAACCTATTTTAAAGTTTGTAATTTAACAAACTTATCGAATGCACCGGGTATAACGATAGACGTATGTTTAATTTATTGAAATTGAGTAACTACACGATTGATCTTTCATTGAAAGAATACTAAATATCAACGTTTTTAAATTATCGAATCTCAGGGATTATTACGATTATGGCCGGATCAAAATGGTCAAAACCTCTATGAAGATGATCGCTGGATAGCATTTATCCAATGTAATGATAATCCCAGCATCAATCTTCAAAATGTTTTACGCGCTGAGGCAAGGGGTGCTGCTGCTTCTGTCTTTTATACACTTACGCAAATGCCTTGTCAAAGTCCAACATCAGATAGGATTCGAAAACCTTTATTTACTACGACCGAACAAGATTGTTCTGAAGTTATTCAACAATTTCGACCTCGAGACGAAATTTCTGCAGTGATAAAACCTGATGGAAATTTAGATTATAAAGTTCCTTCAACACCTGTTTCAGTAAAAGGTTCTGATGACAATAAAGTGCTTGCGACTTATCAAACGGCAATGATAGTACTTTATGCTGTATCAGGTGTTGTTTTGGGATTATTTTTTATTGTAGTTATTACAAACATAATAAGAAACCGGCTTAATGCCCCTGTGACACCACCAAGTCAAGGGCAAGATTCTAATGCACGTCCTAATCGTGGCATAGCTAGATCCGTTTTAGATAGTTTCCCAGTATTCTTATTTACTATTGGAATGAAGGACTATAACGATGAGAATAAAGATTTGGAAGGAGGAAAAGGAAAAGAATTAGAAGATGATATTGAATTAGAGACGACAAGTCCTGTTGTTATGAAATCTGCACCACAATCAGAAGGAATTGAAGTAAATGAAGATTCATCAAATATTTATTCTAAAATTACTGATAATACTCTTGAAACCAATAATGATCGCTCTGATATCAATTTGTCTGAAAAAGAGAATCCTGATTTACCAAAAGTTCTTCCGAGTGCACATATTAAAAATTCGTCACATAGCCGTTCTATATCCACGGGTTCAAGTCTTTCAGCGTTAACGAGTAATAAAGTACAAGATGGGCAATTAACTTGTCCAATTTGTTTGGATGACTTTGAATCTGGTGTAGAATTAAGGGTTCTTCCTTGTCATCATCAGTATCACAAGTCAGTATTTTCATTAAGAACTAATCTTATGTTATTATATACGTACTAATTCTTTTTTCTTCAATAGAATATGTATAGATCCATGGCTTCTCGATATATCCCCGCTATGTCCTATGTGTAAAACGGATTACACTTCATGGGACAGTGAAGTGAACACAACTCAACAAAGTGAAGATGCATTGGATTCTTCAACATCAACTGGAATTAATAATCATACTACAAACACAAATAACGATCGACAAAATGATGATGGTTCGTCGATCGCTTCTTCTGTACATCCAAATTTCCCACATTTCAGATGGATAAAATATCTTACATCTATTCGTCATTCGAGAAGACGACGAAATAGGGACAGAAGGGTTAATAGACAATCAAGAAGTGATGAACTTAATAACAATAACCAAAACAATAATCATAATCATAATAATCATCCGATACCACAGCAGGACAATAATGTAGCTGAGAGTTTATAGGTTAAATTCACACGTTAATAATCCTCAAGTGAATTGTCCGCATAATTTCATTCCTTTTTTTTTTTTTATTATTATTATTTATTTTTATTTTATTTTATTTTATTTTTTATTTTTTTTTTTAGGAAAAAAAAGAGCGGGAGAGAGAACAGAACAAGGATAGAATAACTGTGAATAATTTATATTAGCAAAACTAGCTTATACTAGATAAATTATTCTCAGAAATTATGCTAAATATCAAAAAGAAATTTGTAATTATTTTTTTTTTTTTTTTGAAAAAAAAAAAAAAAAGAGAAAAAACTTTCGTACATATCACCCAAAATTAAACTAAGAAGTTTCTTGTATATTGATAGAAATGTTTATTATAATTTATATAATTCAAGTGAAATCATAATCCATTTTTATTTTAGCCTCAAAACAAAATTGAAATGTTAATAAAATTTGCCAGGAACGACGGGTAAACTAGAAGACAATCCACCATCAACTGATAATGAATGACCATTTACGTATGAACTCTCGTCACTTGCCAAGAATAATACTACATTTGCAATCTATCGATAATAATTCTAATTGAGTATTTATTTTTATAAAAACATTCAATTTATTGAAATTTACCTCAGCCGGAACAGCATATCTTTGCAAAGGATTTAATTGCCCAACTTTATTAATAGTACCACGTGTACGAGCGTGATCGAAGACGGGAGCTGTCATATTAGTTTCAACTAATCCCTATTTATTAAAGGAATTGAATAAATTTTGACATTTTCTTGAAAGGGAAAAGTTATTGATAACTTATTTAAATACTTGCAGGATTAACTGAATTTACGCGAACATTCGTGTTAGCCAGGTGCCAGGCGCCTACTTGAATCATATTAATGACACTGATTTTAACATGAAAATTATTCTTAGCATTGTTATCTTTATGTAAAGTGACGCGTCTTTTATATATACTTACGCAGCTTTTGAAGCCGAATAATCAATGGATCCAGCACCAGATCTCAATCCAGCAACTACATCGTTAAAAAGAAGAAGAGTAAATTAAAAATCTTCTTGAAACTCCATAAACACTCAATAAATGATATAAACCTGAAGCTGTTGCAATAATCGAACCACCGGATTGTTTCTTATCGTTCCCAGTAATTTTCATTGCCGTTGATGCATGTTTTATGGCCAAAAATACACTGATTAACGGAGGAAAATTAATTCGATTGATTGTATATACAAGTAATTACACATAAAAATATTTACCTAAGTACGTTTACCTAAAAATTTTGTTTTAACAAAAAAAAAAAGGTGAAGGGGGTTTCTAAATGTATACCAACTAATAATCTTTAATTGTAATTTTACACAAGTCTTACTCTCATAACTTCCATAAATTTAGATGGTACTAAATCATGTATCTTGTTTATACCAAGTATACCTTTTATATAACAAACAAAGAAATGAAATTAATTCTTTCCGATTAGAAGCAACCTTATTACTTCATGACAAAGATACTAACCAGCATTAGCGAAAAATACATCTAATCTACCAAATCTTTTTATGGCATCATCAACAGTTGATTTAACATCATCTTCCGATGCTGCATCTAGTTTACGTGAAATTACTGTAACCTTTGGGTATTTTGTTTGTATCTCCTTTGCAAGTTGTGGAAGTAAATCTTCAAGATAGTCTGTTACATATATAGCTTTTGCTCCTATAATTTTTTAAAATGGAATTGTCTTTAAACGTCATAAATTTAAATTACAATTCAAATACCGCATGAGGAACATACCGTTCTTGGCAAATGCCCACGCAGTAGCGCGACTATATATGAATTGAGTTTCTAGTTTAAATTAGTTAGTCGGGGTTTTAAAGTAATATATTAATTATTAATATATATTGATTTACCCTATGCCTTTTTCTGAAGCGGCTCCGGTAATAATGCAAACTTTACAACATAACCTAGGTTTATTTTCTTCACTCGCTTCGGCTCCATTTAAATGTCCTGATAATTGTAAAAGTCTGTCTTTAGGGGTAGACATGAATTAATACAGGTAAAAAGAATGATTTTACAATACGACATTTCCGAACTTGGGAAAATTGAAAAAAAAAAAACGAATCATCCAGTTTTTATACAAATTAGGTCATATTGCGCAACTGACAATTTTATAACCGAACTGATGATCTGATCTAAATAAGAAAATGGAAATAAAAAAAGAACAATGAGGCTTTGTAAAAACCTTCGTTCTTCTCTAGTTAGACAATATACAACAAGAAATATGGCTAGACCAATTAGCACTACCGAAGCACCTGGTGCCCTTGGACCTTACTGTAAGTGAACATTTATACGTTTATATATTTCAAGAAGAGGAGTGTCCTAATTTAAAAATTTTTGATAATAGCCCAAGCTATTGTTGCAAATGGTTTTGTGTTTGTTTCAGGTCAACTTCCCGTTGTTCCTGCCACGGGAAATATTATAAGCGAAGATATTAAAGAACAAACGGTACCTATCATCGAAGGTCTTTTCTATTGTTTATAAATGTGCAGCTTTATTTTTTTGTTTACGCGTATTTCCCTAAATTATATATATATATATATATATGAAAAGACCCAAGCTGTTACGAATTTGTCGAATGTACTTAAAGCAGCAAAAGTTGATTTATCTAAAGTCGTAAAAACAACTGTATATCTTAAAGATATGAATGACTTTCCTTCCGTAAATGAAGCTTACGAAAAGGTAATTACTGCGACACTTTATTTTTATTTTTATTTTTATTTTTTTCGTTAAGGGAAAAAAAATTTTTTTTTTCCTCCTTCATTTTCATTTTAGGTCTTTGGAAATAATCGTCCAGCAAGAGCTTGTGTTGAAGTATCTCGTTTACCTAAAGATGTTAAAATTGAAATTGATGCCATTGCTCTTACAACTTAATTATTGAGCATACGCTATTTTAACATGAATCTGAATTGCGGCATGTGAAACCCATAAACTCTAAAGGTTGTAAAATAATAATAATATATATATATAAAAAAAAAAAAAAAAAAAAAAAAAAAAAAATATATATATAAAATCATGCGATCTCTTTCATCAAGATTTAATAAAGAATCTACATTTCACTTGCCTTTTAAAAATTCGTTTGCAACTTTGAAAAAAAAAAAAAATGAAAACAAATATTTTAATATACTCTAAAACTGTAAATTCTTCATTGAATCAAGCTCTAAAATTCATATTGGGTACAAATTATGATATTATTCAAATAGATTCATATGATTTGTTGAAAGATCCCTGGTTTGATACAACTTCTTGCTTAATTTTTTTATCTTCGAATAAATTAAATATTAATCAACACTTATTCATTCAAAAAGAATTTAATTATAACATCCTATTTGAAAAAAAATTCAAAGAGTATCTAAAATCCGGTGGTAATTATTTGGGTATTGGTTTAGATGCGATACAATTTTTACCTTCTCAGTTGAGTAATAATTGCACTTATAAAACTTTAACCATTAACCAGATTAAACCTGGTACTTCTACTACTACCACTACAACAACAACAACAACAACAACTACTACAACTACTACAACTTCTACAACAACTTCTTCCGATATCTATCCTAAATTGTCAAAAGAGACTATTGTTGAAATTCCTTTAAAGTTAAAAAATTTATTGCATCATTTTCCTTTCGTTCAAAATCAAATTGAAATTCCATGTGATAATTCAATTGGTTATTTTGATGATTTGGGAAATAATATTACTTCTATTGCAACTTATAATGATTCTTCAACTGTAATTCAATATGATGTTGGTAATGGAAAGATCATTTTATGTGGCCTTGATCCTTTCTTTAATAATGTTAAACTTGAACAGGATCATTTTATAAGAGGTTTATTTTCAATTCTCGGTTTAAATTTATCTCAAAGGAATGAAATTACCCCTTCAAAATTATCTTTTACTCTACATTTAACCTCAATAAGACCTGCTTTAACTAATCTTTGGTTAAATAATATAAATTCTTTAAAGGATTCTAATAATATTATAAAAGTGTCAAATGAATCCTTTAGAATTATAGATAACTCTCATAATAATGATTTATCTCAAGCTCAACAAACACCTAGTGATGATAATATGAATATTCCAAATTCTATTATAGTTTATCATGATCAACCTCCTCCTCTGTCAATCACACCTTTATTTAATTTTAAAGATTTCTTTGATCACCTTTCAAAAGAAAGAATTATTGAAAGTGATGGTGGTAATAAAATGGAATTTGGTTCAACTGTGCTTTATGGTGAAGTGATATCAAGTACACAAACATTACTAGACAAGTAACGTATTTACGCACTTTGTCCTTTGTAATTATAGAAATTTTTCTAAATTTTTTTTTTTTTCTTTTCCTTCTAAATAATTAGAAATTTTAAATTTACTCAAACTTTGCCTACTGGGTTCGTTTGTGTAGCTTCACAACAGAATCAAGGACGCGGTCGTGGTAAAAATTCTTGGATTTCACCTCTTGGATGTGTTCAGTTCTCTGTTGTCTTAAAACATCCATCGAACATATCCTCTGTTGTTTTTATACAATACCTCTTATCATTAGCGGTAGTTGAAGCTATTAGAACAAAAAAGGGTTACGAGGTTCGTATTACAAAAAAAAAAAAAAAAAAAAAAAAAAAAAGCTTTCAATATAATGTTTCATGAATTAATTTAATATTTATACGTGCTTTAGGATCTTCCTCTTAGATTGAAATGGCCAAATGATATCTATACTGAAAATGTTAAAATTGGTGGTGTTATAATTAATTCGCATTTCCTCCAAGATGAATTTCTTTTGATCGCAGGTAATTAATTACCTTTGATATAAAGAAATTCAAACTTTAATACTTACATGGATGTATTCATTTTTAGGGTGCGGAGTAAATTTAAGTAATTCAGCACCCACAACCGCCATTAACCGTATAATATCTCTATATAATCATGAAAATAATACTCAATTAGAGGAATTTTCTCAAGAACAACTTTTAGCCGCTATTCTCGTAAAATTTGAATCATTTTACAAAGAATTTTGTAGTCATAAGAATGGGTTTGAACCCTTTCTTGATATTTATTATAAAAGATGGTTACATAAGTTCGTGTCTATTTTTCATTTTCATTTTTTTTTCTTGTATATTTAACTTTTCGATTGACTTATTATTGTTATTCCTTGTTTTACAGTGATCAGATCGTCACTTTAGAAGCATTTAATAATAGGAGAGCTCGTATTATTGGGATTACGACGGATTTTGGTTTTTTGAAAGCCAGGTTCATAAATGAGGATGATGAAATAATTTTGCAACCTGATGGAAATAGCTTTGATATGATGAAAGGAATGATATCTCATAAATCATAATAATAATTAATATATTAGTGAAATTTATGTAATTATTAATATTATAAAATAATAAAATGTTTTCTATTAAAAATTAAAAAAAAATTATCATTAATTAAATGAGGATCCATCCCACTTTGTCGGAAATCCTTGAGGTTTTAAATCTTCGTTATCATTTATTTCCTGCCTTGATCCCCCTTCTTGTTTCCTCTTTTTAAGAGAACCATCACTCATTTCAACAATCACTGGTCGCTTGGTCGGGATAATCTTCTTCTTTTGTGATAACATCCAATCCCAAAGTTCCACTTCATCAACAAGATCATATAATACATCTTCAGTTACGTATTCCATATATCGTTCAGACATTGGATTCCAATTACGACCACTAGTACTTTTCTTGTAAGGATTTAATGAAGATGGGGATGACGAAGTTGAAGTTGATGGTTTGTTTAATAATGGATTTGCAACTAAGGTTTTTATTAATGAAGACTTGAAAGTCTGAACTTTGGGTGGCGTTGACCTATTGCTTGCAAGCTCTAATTCCGGATCTGGTGGCGGTGGATATCGAAAATGTGGTCCGAAATTTAAAGTACAAGTACCACCTCGATACATAGATACGGCTGGATAATATCCAAGAGATCCATCGTCCTCGGTTAAATCATCATCATTAGTATATTTGTCGACGGTGGGCAAAAATGAATATAAATTATCGAAAGCAACGCCTTGACGAACTCCATTTTTATAAACAATGATCTTTGAACCTGGTAAAACGGGAATATCTGGTGGTGCCTGCACTTGTTTTTTCTCTTCTTGTTGCTGCCACCAGTACTTTTTTTCCTTTTTCTTTTCTGGCAATTCTAAAAGCTGATTCATTTGATGCGTTGGTTTAAAGTCTTTATATTCGAAAATCGTATCCCCTTTAAATAGGATCGGTATTCTATGCCTTTTTGGACTCTTTGGCTGGTAGTCCGGAATCACCTTCTTCAATGGCGGTAAGCTAATATAAAGACCTATAACATCTCCCGTTTTAAATGACTCGCCATATTGTGTAGGAATAGATTGATGTAGCTTTTGTCCAGTTAGATCTCTAAAACCATAACTGTATGCGTCGGAACCAACCGGAGAATTTCTATTGCCTGCAAATTTTGACATAAACGATTAGTTCAGATTTAAAAACTAATAATGTCACAATGAATAAATAAATACCTTCTCTACGAGCCCAGCCTACCCTTACATGTGCGCCATCCTTACCATCGATTTTACCCTCACCACCACGATCAATAAAAACTTCAAAAAACCACTTTCCTTCCTTCACGGGACAGTTTGCCCTAGCCATTGAAAATCCAAAATCGGTAGTGGAAGTTAACTGGTCACCACTTATCCATACGGATAAACTTGCATCTTCTTTAGAAAGTCGTACACCGTACGGAGGTAATTCAGAATTGCGATATTGCAAATATGGAAACAATTTATCTAATTGACAAGGTAAATATTTGAAACCGTGCCGAAGATTATTTTGTTCACCGGATTGACCAAATTCCGTAATTGACGAAGAACGTGCCTCCATCAAGGCAATCACGGTATTAGAACGATTGGATTGTGTTTGGCCAGAAGCTACAGGCTGTTCTGAAGAAGAGCGAAACGGTGTTGATTGACGTTTTGAAGGAGACGCATGTGTAATTGTTGACGATGATGCTTCGTCTTGGGTTCCAGAGTCATAAATTGTACGAGTACTATTATTCACCGCCTCTCTATGAGCCCGTGAGGGAGTCCTTGAATGTGATGTCTAAAGTAAAAATTTCCGTAAATGTATCATAAATTTCATATATATAATAAAATAAAAAAAAAATTACGTTACCCCAAAATGCCCTGGTCTGATATTCCATAGATTTGGATCTACAAGACAAAAGTTCGAACTTGCCGAACGATTATTTTCATCTTTGGCAACAAAAAGATCTTTAGTTGAGTATAGACATGATCCAAGAGTTGCCCACCTTAAAAAATATGTATATACATATAGTTACTTAATAATCAAGAAATATATAGATCATTTAACACATACCAAGTTGCAGTTCTAGAACGCTCCGTACATAAAGAAGACCAATTCTTATCAACAAACGGTCTTAAATGTTCATTTTTATTAAAATAATATTGGAATGGAGACAATTTCCTTGCACAAGCCGAAGAATATATAGGATCTCCTTTTTGAGCTTTAAATTCTGCCAAATGTTGCTGAAGCATCAAATTTGCTATAGCGCAACCACCAATTTCTTTCCATCCTGCTTGGCTACGCTTATAATTAAAAAAAAAAAGTTTTAATTTATCTGGCTTTAGTTAAAAGGAATGAATTATCATCCAAATTACCTTGAAATTCTCCCCAGAAGAAATATTGCACCATTTACAAGTAAATTTATAATTCGTGAAAATTGGGATAGTGGTATCGAGTGGAATTTTAGTACATTTTGCGTGAAACCAATTCAAACAGCCTAAAAAATGAATAATTGGTCGTAAAAAAAAAAAGAGATCTTTTAAGTTATAAAATTGTACTAACCTGAGCATTGGAGAGAAACTTCAGTCAAGTTTCTGTCTTTTCCACAATAACAGTACGTATGTTCCTCATTTATTGTATGCAAATTGTTCCAAGTAAGGTTATTTGGGTCATAAAAATCATCCATGTTGAAAGAATGGAAGACGCGACTTTGGACGGCTGGATTTATGCATAGTTATGCATGACGTATTGCTCAAATGTATCACGTGATAGAAATCTACGCCACATAAATTACAAGTTCAAATGATTGACGTAGATGATAACTATTTAACACAAAAAAAAATTTTTTTTTCTTTATTCTATTTTTTATTAAAATGGTGGCTAAGCAACCAAAGTCTGGTATTGTTCTTGGCTTAAATAAAGGTCATAAAGTAACTCATCGTGAACTGAGACCAAAACCTTCTCGAAGAAAAGGGGTAAGTTATGGGTCTTGTCGATATATTTGTTTTCTTAGATGGTGAACCTTAAGCCAATGGATTATTT